GGTCCGCCGAGGAGCCACCTTTGACGGATTGCGGCGAGATCCCGACAAGCCCCGAACCCCCCTTTGTCTTTGTCTTGGAATTGCAACACCCCATTTGCACCCTAGTTTGTTAGGTTTGGGGCTTTAGGTCGTAACTTTTAGGCTGTAGTTTTCCACCCTTGTTTGAGTTTGTCAAAGCTCAGTGTACTAGGGTAAACAATAATACTGTATAATAGTGTTTTAATAATAATAATAATAATCTGGTAATGGTAGAAAAAAATATGAGAAAGAAAACTATGAAATTAGCCATTTTGTTAGAAATAATCATAAAACTAACATTATAGTTCTGTATTTCTCCATTGCAGTAGAATATTGATTTTCCTGTGTGTGACAGAAAGACAAGGAGAGAGGGCAAGTTCAATAGTAGAGTTATCTAAAAAAAAATGATACAAGTTAATATAGTTTCACCCCAGATCAACAGTGCTTAATAGTGCCTCTTCATACCGAATTAGCTTATCCTCCAGAAAAAAGGCATTTAGTACCATGCTGCAGAAGAGAAACGATTTATTCGCGAATAAAGAGATCGGAACGACCGGTCTACAATTTTATTATCACTATTTAAGGCACTCACCAATTGATTTGGAAAAGAATTCAGTTTTCCGCCAACCCCATCCCAATACCTCAGTGCTGTTGTATCGGGTTTATCTCCGTAGCGTTCTCCTCCACCGGAAACAACGTACACAGCAAGGAGAAACAACTGACGAGGGGCTCTCCTTACCCATCCCACGACCACTACCGTATTCACAAACAAATCCAATCAAACCTTCCCGCGGTGTGATGCATCCGATCAGGGATCAAACTAAAATACCAAAAATATTTTTTAAAAAGGGCGATCATCCTAGGGCCTCTCCGGTGAACTCGTCGTCGAGGATGAACGATGTGGAGAACCTCCTCGGAGCACTAAAGACGTAGACGAGGTCGATCAAATGCAAGAAAACTCCTCGAAAAGACGATCAAACCGGACAAAATGCCGCGGGATCCTCGCGTCGAGTGAGAATTCCAATCCACACATCCACAAAAGGGCTGCCCTGTGAGAGAAGGTTAATCCCGGCCTGGAGAGAAATAAAAAGAATTCCAAAGTACCGTCCACGTGGAATGAAATAGAGGTGGATTGTTCATTTCGTCAGGTAATACATCCACACAAGGACTTTA